GCCCCTTATTGCTGATTGGCTACAAGTTTGTTTTGCGATTCGGCCCGAATCAGTTTTCTAAAGCGTTTTTGAAAAATCACATACCCTGCCTTTAATTACTCACCCTCATCGTCGTTCCAAACCTGTAAGACCTTCGTTCATCTTCGGAACACAAATTAAGATATTTTTGATGAAATCCATGAGCTCTCAGAGCCTCCATAGACCGCAACACAACTGCAATGTTCCCAAGTCCAGAAACGTAGCAAGGACATCAGAAGCTACGAGAATACTTTTTGTGCACAAAGAAAACAAAAATAATGGCTTTATTCAACGATTCTTCTCCTTATGATGCATGCGCTTGCTTCCGCTTCATATAAACAACACATGCACATGGTGCTGCTGCTTGCGTAACATGCAAATGCTGCAGCACACGCATACGTTGTTTACATTTTGGGTGAACTATCTCTTTAAAGCTGCAGTCAGTAACTTTTATTTGTATAGAAAATGTATATAATACTCAAAGTATCATGATTTCCACAAATATTAAACGGCACGTTTTTTTTTTTTCGTTTTTTTTTCCGTCTTTCAGCATTGATTAAAAATGTTACTTGAACAATATTAAATGGTGGGATTTTATAGTTAAATAATTTTTGTTTTTCCTTCACGGCATTGCTTAATTTTACATGTAAATCTCTGTCTACCTGTCTCTCCCTCTCTCTATATGTGTGTATGTGTATATATAAATCTGGCAGGTGTACGTGTGCTAAAAGTTTAAATGTCTTTCAGTTCACCAGATTCATCAGTTCTGGACAGACTTCTGGCCCTGGAGAAGATGATGATGGGCTCGGCTGAAAGGGAGAGACTCAACTTGCTCAAAACTGTAGCACAGTCCCGTAAGGAAATACAGGTATCGTACATGCTCTTTGAGCATTTTGGTTCTGTTGCTTGGTCAGAACAACATTTCTATCTCTATTTCAATTAGGGCTGTCAAATGGATTTATTGTAATTAATCACATTCAAAATAAAAGTTTGTTTGCATACTAAGTGTATACTGTGTATATTTATACTAGGGCTGTGCAATTAATCGCAATATGGTTTCGGTTTCGATTTCAGCCTCCAACGATTATGAAAATACAATAATCGAGAAAACGATTATTGCGCCCCATTCTGCCCCCTTTTCCAATGGTGCGCTTTCGCTCCTCCATAAAAGCCCAATTTTACGTGCAAATCAGTAGTCATATAACGTGACTTTTTCAAAATCTAATCAAAATATTTGATTAGATTTAATCATGTTTTTAAAAGCGCTAAAGAGAACATGCGCTTCCTCAGGAGGATATCTGTGCCTGCGCTCAGAGACGGAATACAACACGGACATGTAAAGTCATCTTTTAGCTCTAGGTGCGCTTATACCATCAAATACACGCTAAAATGTGGCGCTTAGTGATTATTCACGTAAACTATCATCGGGTATGTAATAAATGAACATAAACAGTTGAGAATTAAAATACATGCGTAACAGTAAATTGGATCTGTGCGGCTCTTAAAGTGACAGCGGGCTAATATTCCTGCTGCCTACTGTGTGCTTAACATTAATCAAACAAAAAAAACCAGAGAAAATAATTTACTGCTCTGCTCTAATGGACTTTTCTAGCTTTAATAAGAAACAGAAGGTTTAATTCTTACATTGAAGACTATGCGGTTTTATTTTACATTTGATTATTCATTTATTTCTGTAGTACGCTTCCTCAGGAGGATATCTGTGCCTGCGCTCAGAGACGGAACACAACACGGACAGGTAAAGTCATCTTTTAGCTCTAGGTGCGCTTATACCATCAAATACACGCTAAAATGTGGCGCTTAGTGATTATTCACGTAAACTATCATCGGGTATGTAATAAATGAACATAAACAGTTGAGAATTAAAATACATGCGTAACAGTAAATTGGATCTGTGCGGCTCTTAAAGTGACAGCGGGCTAATATTCCTGCTGCCTACTGTGTGCTTAACATTAATCAAACAAAAAAAACCAGAGAAAATAATTTACTGCTCTGCTCTAATGGACTTTTCTAGCTTTAATAAGAAACAGAAGGTTTAATTCTTACATTGAAGACTATGCGGTTTTATTTTACATTTGATTATTCATTTATTTCTGTAGTAGGCTAGGCTGTTAACTGAATACTTTAGACTTGCATTAAAAAAACTTAAAGCACATCGTGATTAATCGATTCGACAGCGCTAATTTCAATGCATTGCAAGAGGTGAAAAAAACTCTTTCTGTGGAAATAAGGAGCAGTGAGACAAACATCCCTCTTGCTTGTAGTTAATCCATCATTTGGGCCAGATTGCTAATACCAGTTGCAAACTGTACTGGAGTCCACATGAACCTAGTTTTCAAATGGTTTCAAAAACCACTTCCACATCAATTAATGGGTGATTTTAAATATGTTCTGCTGTCTTCCCATAGATGTTGAAGGAGAAACAGAAAGAGCTGGAGGACAAAGCAAACATGCTTAACAAGCAGAATGAAACTGTTGAAAAAGAGTCCAAAGATGCACTTCTCTTTAAAACAGATCTGCCCCCACTGCACAGAAAACCGTCTACAGCCGCCAAACCACGCAAACAGCAGGCGGTTGTCACACCGTTACAGGGTAGGATGTGGTTAATTTCATCCTTACAGTCCTCCTGGGACACTCTTTATGCAGGAGAACCCAGTATTGATTAAAGTGGTTTAGTGTTTCATGATCCTTTGAAGATTTGTCCTTCTCTTTCTTCTCTGCCTGTTGAGTTGTGCTGTTAGTATGCTGTATGTTTCTGTGGTGGTGCTGCAGCTGCTGTGCTCTTCAAGGGATAGTTCATCCAAAAATGAAAATTCTGTCATTAATTACTAACCCTCATGTTGTTCCAAAACTGTAAGACTTCCGTTCATCTTCGGAACACAAATTAAGATATTTTTGATTTTTTAGCTGCGGCACGCAGATACATTGTTTGCACTTTGATATGAACGAAAACAACTTATCCGCGTGCCGCAGCTGACACAGAACAGCATACGCTGTTTACGTTCAGTGGTTTTTCTCCAAAATGGCGCTAGGGTGACGCGGAGGAGACGAATTGTTGAATAAAGTCTTTTTTTTTCTTTCTTTCTTTCTTTCTTTCTTTTGTGCACAAAAAGTATTCTCGTAGCTTCGTAAAATTACGGTTGAACCCCTGATGTCACATGGATTATTTTAACGATGTCCTTGCTATGTTTCTGGACCTTGATCATGTAAGGACACTTGCTGTCTATGGGAGGGGCAGAGAGCTCTCAGAATGCATCAAAAATATCTTAATTTGTGTTCCGAAGATCAACGGAGGTCTTACGGGTTTGGAACGACATGAGGGTGAGTAATTAATGACAGAATTTTCATTTTTCAAAAAGACTTTAGGGATGAACTATCCCTTTCAGGGCTCAAAGCGTTTCCGCTCTGTTCCCTCTCTCATCCTGCTACTGTCAGCATCTGTGATTCCAGATTGAACACTGAACTGATGTTTAAAGGGTTAGTTAACCCAAAAATGTAAATTAGCCCATGTTTTACTCACCCTCAAGGCATCCCAGGTGTATGACTTTCATCTTTCAGAAGAATCCAATTGGAGTTGTATTAAAAATTGTCCTTGCTCTTCCAAGCTTTAAAATGGCGCTGTGCGGGGTTTTTTTGTTGTTGTTTTTCTTTCTTCAACAGTCCAAAAAGTCAAATAAAGTGCATCCATCCATAATAAAATGTGCCTCACAGGGCTCCGGAGGGTGAATACAGGCCTCCTGTAGCGAATCGATGCGTTTTTGTAAGAAAAATATCCATATTTAAAACTTTATAAACGTTTCGTATAAAATCGATGACCTATAGGAGGCCTTTATTCAGATAATGTAGAGTCGTGCATTAATTTGAATGATGACAGCTATTATGGGAGTTGCTTGATGGAGCGCATGAGATGCAGACAACATGATCTTGACCCTTAAGAAACTTTAATTAATGCTGTCACGTAACAAATCTGTTCAAATATAAAATTAAATGAATTGCTAATTTCTGAATGACTACATTGAAATAAAAATGTAAAGCCTGTACAAATATTAGAAATCGTGAATATAAATAATTGGGAATCATGTAGTAAAAATTCAAATAAAATAAAAACGGTGCACATTTCATTTATCTATTATAACATTTATGTAGTTTTGTTCACTTGGCTGTTTCCTTATAAAAGTCCAAAAATTTGTCTCGTTTTTCGTCAGGTGTCTTTTTTAATTATATGATGTCATTACGTTGCTGTCTTGCCGCCAGCCAATCGCTGCATTGCTGATCGTGGTTTCAAGTATCGGTACATAGCCCCTTTTAAACCAACCCATGAACGCGCAATTATCTCCGATAACTCAATCCAGCCATGCTAATCATCAACAACAGGTGTGTTCGAAGAACCGAATTAGCCAGATCCTGATTAGCACGATTTCATCTCTGATGTAATAAGCGACGTACGAAGAACGCGCCCCAGTGCTGCACTGCTTTGTGTACCGCCGTTACCGGGGAAACTGTTCCATAGCGCCTCCTGCTGGCAGAAAATGAATGTGCATTTTTAATAAGGCTGTTGTTGTGAGTAGGGTATTCCTACAATACAGTTTTAGGACCGCATTTCTAGGACCCTATAGTTTTTTATTACTTTATTTTATTTATTTATTTTTGTATGTATGTATTAGCGGCTCATACTATTTTATAGCACTTGCTATTCAATTCTGTATATAAGGAATTATGTAGTTGTTTAATTGTATACACTTAGTTATTGTCCTAACCAACTCCTAACCCTAAACCCACTTGAAGTGCAGTAAACGCTAAAACAATTGCGGTACAAATTAGTCTGATTATTAGTACTTTAATAAATGTAAAATAATTTAAATGCAAATTTACAACATCCAGCAGCACAATGAACTGTTTTGCACGGATAAATAGGTTAAATGGAGATTGCTGACACCCCCTCAAACACTCACGTGCACCCTAAATCTTACATTAAAAATAAAATGGAAAGATAAAAAAATTTATAGTTTCCATGGATCTAGTCTTTGCATATGTTTGTTTGATGTTTGAATAGGGCTGGACAATAATTCAATATCAATATGTATCGCGATATAATTTTTTTCAATAACGGTGATATGATTTTTAAACACATTTCCGATATTTCGATATACATTACCAGTTTCCCATACTTTGATTTATTTGTGCCGTTTGACTTCGTTGAATAAACATGAGCACTGCACGTTTCAAAATCAAAAAATGTCGCGGGTGTTTTATATAAATGTATCTGTGAAGGGAACCGACTGTCTTCAGAAAAGTTTCGATGACATTTTCATTTGATCTGATAAAGTAGCGTTCATGAGCAGAGCTGCTTTGATTACAGCCATTACTGGAGAAACCGCTAGTTTTATCACTCTAAAAGCGCCTCCTG